CAATTGGCTTTTTTGTCTAAAAAAAAAAAAAAAACTAAAGAAACCACACTATTTGAAAGACCCCAGTTCTGTTCTCAGCCTTCAGGGTTTTTGTTTTTAATCATAGTTGTGTGTATTATATTCTCAGCCATGCCGTAGTGGAGACAGAAGGACTCGGGCTCTCTGGCCAGCTAGCCTAGGCTACTGGGCATGCTCCAGGCCAGTGAGAGAACTTGCCTCATGTTTTTAAAAAATCATGGTGCCTGAGTATCAACTTCCAGTATTCCGTGTTGTTCTCTAGCCTCCACACACACTTGCATGCATGTCAACACACATACATATACATACATTTTTTCTTTTTTAATTTAATTTATCCTACAATAGATTTTGATCATATTTTCTCCTCTCATAACTACTCTAGATCCTCCCCATCTCCCTGTGCAGCCGAATTCAAAATATTTCTGGTATTAATGAACTATACTAAGCTGTTTCAGTCTTGTCTGCTGCAGACAGCAGAAAGAAAAAAATCATTCTTGCCAGCCATAATTATAGTTAATGAAAATTGTCCTGAAATAGCTTATTAATTTCATTAATCCCAGTGAATCATACAATTGATGACACAGGTCCAGGTCCCCGCTCAGAACCATTTCTTAATTTTTTTTTCTTTTTCTTTTTTTTTCTTGCTTGTATTTGTCTTTGTCCCTGATCATGTGAGTTTTAGAAAGGATAGTACAATAGTATGCTAGGTGTTTGTCTTTGTCCCCGATCATGTGAGTTTTAGAAAGGATAGTACAGTAGTATGCTAGGTGTTTTAGAAACAAACACACCCACAAGGAGTTCTACAGATAGCTTCTGGAGCTAGGGAGTCACTTGACACATTGTACACACAAATCCCTGCACACTGAACACTGTGTGCTCATCTTACAGCTTCATCTTTCCCCTAAACGACCCAAGGAAGAAAGCCAGCTGAGCTCAGTGAACTTCTTACGCTCCCTCAGCCCTTCCTTAGTAACAAGCATCTTTACCTATATTCTCTCTCTCTCTCTCTCTCTCTCTCTCTCTCTCTCTCTCTCTCTTTCACACACACACACACACACACACACACACACACAAAACACAAGGAAAAGGCAAAATAGATGAGTATCTTAGAGATAACCTGAGAGCATATTTGAGCTCCAAGCAAATGAATTTCCAGCCACAAACACAAAGAAGTAGAAGGCACCTCTTAAAGAGGCTGGCTGGAGAAGGCACTATTTTTAGCAAGGAAAATAAAACTAGATCATGAAAAACAATGTGTCCTAATTCACCTCCCCTCTTTAGTCCCTGCCCAGGGTCAGAGGTAAAATGATGAGTGTGATTTCCCTGCTTAGGGGGCTCTGCAGGGGAACCCATATGTAAATAAGGGATTAGAATGAATATGGTAGGACCATAGAGGGAGTAATTAATTCACTCCTGATGACTAGAACTGCAAGAGTTCACTTTGAAACCCTGCAGAAGGGAGACAGGCGAAGACAACTTTGCAAAGAGCTGCACCATATGCAATTTCTAAATTCATTCCTGTCAGAGGTAGAAGGGCCAATTCCATCTGATTTAACTCAGGGTTAGTACAAAGAAGGCATAGAGATCTCTCCTTTCTAACAGCTTACATCAACTGCCAGCAACTGCCAGTGGCCAGGTTCAGAATGAATAGGTGATCTTAGAGCTGATTAGTGATGTCGGCCCTGGCTGCAGTGTGGTTAGGAAGGAGTCTAATTTGGACCCATTGTTACTCTTCAATGAGTTTAATAAGTTGAAAGAGTTTAATAAGCCCGGGAAGATCATGTGTAGGAACAGATACAGGCACCCTGTGGCTACAGATGCTGGTCCTCAGTGTTTGCCGCGGTCTCTGTTAGCTGTTGGAGGAAGACAGAAGACAGAGGACAGAATTCAAGGAACTCTGCGAGGCTGTGTATATGCTGTATTGAGAAGTGCTTCCAACGATTTTGTAAACAGTCTTTATAGGGCTGGTTGTACCTCTATTAGCTACTTGACCTACTTTTTAAAACAAACATGCATTAGCCAGCCCTCTCCCTGAGATGCACGGAGGCTGCCCCATTCCTCTGGGTTGCTTTGTTTTTATTGGATCCAAAGATTTCCTTTAAAGCAGAGGTCACGAAGTGGGAAGAGAACTCTCTAGAAGTGCTTTGCAAATTAAATTAGAGGATGTTCTTAGGTAAAATAAAACCCAGGTCTTATGACCAAGCATAGATTGTGTTTTACAAAAGGTCAAAATCATTGCATAAAGATTGCTCCATTTTGTTCCGTTTTACTACTAAGGGAGTTCAAAGACATGATTCTAGGTTGGTGGTGTCTCAGGGCCCACAGCTCGAGAAGAGTGAGAGAGCTTCATTAAGCCCTGCCGAGGTTTAGTTTTCAATTCCGAATCTGTGTTGGGTCTCAGTGGAATTCTACAGACTGCACTGAGGATATTGAAACTTGACCCGGGAGCTTTAATAGCAGATACCGAAATGGCCTTTAGCTGTGTTTTGGCTAAAATTAGATGATTTCCCTTTTCTGAAATTTCGGCACACCCTCCCCCCAAAAACTTTAGGTCTTGTTGTAAAGGTGGAATTTTAGTCAGGAATGCATAGGAAAGAGTGGTGGGAATTGTCTCAAAATCCGTCTACCAGGATCTTCACGTTGAAGATTCAGAATCATAACTAATTCCGTGTCCTATAGTAACCTACATTTCTCCGTACGATTTTTAGCAATGAGCAAAAAACAGGTGAGATGCCCCCTCCCACCTCACTGGTGGTTATTTGCTCTTCATTCCCTTGCCAGTCACCCATTGCAACCAGAAATGTGGATGGAAGGCGAGCTATACAGTACATTTAATAAAGTAAAAAGGAGAAGTTGAATTCAATTCAGCAGAAGTTGATCATGACAAGGGCCCACCCAAGTTCTTAAAGTACTGACTCTCAAGCCTCCAGTTGGGTTCATTTTAATGCCAGGACTATTTTGAGTGCAAAGGAAAAGAAGGGGTGGATGGCTCTTCTCCAAGAACAAACATAAGACAGGTGTGATGTATTTGAGCTCCTTCTCTGAGTGACAGGAATAGCATTAATAGAGACGGTGACACGCAGAGGAAGAGATGGATTTCGACTTTAACAAAACCTTTGTTTTGGGGTACCAGGGAGATAGCTCGGTTGGTGAAACACATGCCATAAAAACATGAGGGGCACTTAGGTCAGATCCCCAGGACCCACATCAAAAGCTCAGTGGACTTCTGGTCAACCCTACCTGAATTAGTTATCTCAGGTTCTGTAAGAGACCTCATCAAAACAAAACAAAACAAAAAGATGAAGAGCAATAGAAGATACTTGATGTAGATTGCTGCCCCACCCCACAGGTTTATTTTAACCAGAAAATTATTTTTAATCTCTAGAGAAGCACAGGGAGAAGATGGGCTTGGGATTTGGAGGAAAATTGTTAGAATCTTTCCGATGAATCATGTCTCATGATACGACATGAAGAGGTTGAACGGTGCACAGTGCAGGCAGGAACATCATCAGCTTTGTTGTCTCTGGAACCCAAATGACTCTTGGGAGTTTTTACTACATGTCTATTGGCCTTGGTAGCATGGAGGACAGGATGATAGGCCTCTTCTACAGCATGGCCTTGCTCCTGAAGTGTGCCCCTGAGATAGACTTCTTTCATGGAAGATAATATTTATCTGCAGTATTAAGTGAAAAAGGTTAACCCTGCCGAGTCGGGGAAGTCAACAGAAACCACAGGAAGGTCTTTCCAGCACCCTTCATTGGTTTACCCCGTGTGCACCAAGCCCAGGTCATTCTCTGCAATCTTTGAGTTGGACTTTAGCAGCAGTAGCAGAGGCAAATCAACACTCCAAAGAGGCCTCGGGCAGTCCTCCTTGATGTGGGTGGGTGGTTCAAAGCATGGCCCAGAAGGAAATGTCTCAGGGCTCCTATTCCACCCTGCTGTAAATTTCCATTTTACAGGGATGAGCCAACTGCCCTGTTACTTAAATCAGGCGGAGGCAAGCCCAGGCTGCAGTGCCTGGCAGTCTGCAGGTCAGCTAAGCCCACTCCGCAGCAGGAGGCAGAGAGCTCCTAGGATGCAACCTGAAGCAAGTAGGCCAGCAGTCATCTCTCATGATGTTGGGCATGCATCCAGGAGGAGCTATAGCGACAACATATAGCTTTCTTTTCTGCTTGCCTTTCTCCTACCCTTCCCCTAAAGAAGTCAGATATCTACCAGGACAAACATTTAGGGCAGGGGTGGGAAAAATTGCCTCGAAACAAATCAATACCTGTACTTCCCATTTGTGGAGTAATTATTACATGATAGCCCTTGCTATGGACACGTTTGGAAGGTAAATATACCTATTTATCCCTATTTCTCAGATAGAAATGCGGAAGCCTAGCGAGGCACAATGACTTATAAAGATTGCATAGCTAAGGGGTGTTTCCATCCAGTTTATTGTCTGGTTCTTATTGCTATTTTAAAAGTTTGTCTAAAATAGCATAGATTAATTACATATGATAAAGACTTCCATTATGACATTTCATGTATATATTTTGTCATTAGTTCCTCCATTATCTTCTCTTTTTCTCCTCCCATTCATACTAATTCCCTTCCAAGGTCTCTCTTGTACTTCCTTTTTTGGGGTGGGTAGGATCAAATGCATTTACTGGGGGATGCTTCCAGGGGCATGAACAATGGGTTTGCTGCTATTTCTTAAGATCCCCTCTGAGAATGCCATATCACTCCCATTGCTGGTATGAAAGTGGGCTGTACAACACTAACTAGACACCTTAGTTAACCCTCATGTGAAATGGCATGGCATGCATTTGGGGGTGTGGAAGTGGGTGGGTTTCCTCTGGTCTCTTTGGCTTCCTATGCTCTGAGATGTGTTTTCATTTCTCTGCCTTTCTTATTTATGTTACCATGCTCTCAGATAATTGTATGCTGTCCCCAAACCAGACGCCATCTCTTTCTCTCTCTCTTTCTCTCTCTCGTAGGCACGGTGCTGTTGTGCCAGGCCAACCAGGAGGGATCTTCCATGTACAGTGGCCCCAGTTCACTTGTATATACTTCTGCAAGTAAGCCCACACTTGTGGCTCTTTTTGTTTTGTGATATGTATATATGAGTTCGTTCATCTCCTTGCCATGTAAGTCTCCACCTCTCCTTTCATCTCCTTCAGGGTGTCCTCTCCATCGGGTAGAGTGGAGTTTCATAAACATGCCTGTTTTTTCATTGCCTTAGTACCTAAATCCCTCTGTTTTCTCCCATTCACAGTAAGCCCACATTCCTGATATGTATTACCCATCCTTCATTAAGCCTGTCGTGACTGACTGTCATGATGGTACATGGGCATTGGTTGGTGAGGAAGGTTGTGGGAAAGGAGGCCATTGGCTGCATTAATCACAGTTCTGCAAATTAATGGTAAAATATTTTAAATGTGCAAACCATCCAAAAGTCCCCCATAGTGTAGGAGGTGTCTTGAGCTGTCCCTTTGTAGATGGAAGGTTCACTGTAGGAAATATGACCAATTGATAGCTAGTTTTCAAGGCTCAGAAGTCCACAGTGAAGGCAGATAAATTAAGGTTCTTCTAGTTGAACTGGATACAAATGTTCTGATAAAATTTTAAGTATTATATAAATACACATATATGTAAATACACTTGCAGAGAGGCAGTGGCAGGAAAGGAAACATAAGCTTAGAAGGAAGGCCTAGGAAGTACCCTACCTGATGTCCAGATCAGACTGGACAACTAAAGCCATACCTAGGCCCTGTGGGTCTTTTCCTTTTTCCTCTTAGTAAGTGTTCTTTATTTGTTATTTAAAGCAGGCACTATATATAGTCCTGGGAGAGTCCCCTAGTTGGCAAATGTGTCCCCTTCACTGTTGATGTCCAAAAGTTAGTCTGTAGGTCCTTGGGAAGGACTGGGCTTCCAAACGGGATAAAGAAGGGTAAAGTGGAAGTGGCAGCTCATGACAGTCACAAAAATGAAGGCAGAAGAGAATCCTCACTCCTGGGAAGAACCTGACACCTCAATTCCCAAAATGAGAGAGTGGGACAAACTAGACAGGTCCCCTGGGACCCACTGATAACGACAGCCCTGGGACAGACTGAGTGTTTGTGGAACGGGCAGCTATTTCATGTTCAAACCCAGGTTGGAATTGTTTCAATGAGGGGTGTACATTCCCGTGCCCTGAGAAAGTCTAACCCTGATAAAAAAAAAAAAAGTTGTTCTTTCTGAATGGAAGCAAACTGTCCCTTGTGAGTTACTGTAAATGGTAGCCTTCTTCATGCCTGCTCCAGGTAGGTACTACACAGCTTGTTTTACAGAGGAAGTGGAGGGCTCCGACGACAGCGAGTTACTCACCGTCCAGGGCCTTTACAGACAGGTTTGGTTCTTCCTGTTCGCCTGCCCTTCCTGTCTCTACTCTTATCTGGAGAAGAGCTGCTGCATAGTGTTAGTGCTGGTCTACAGAACTCCCAGAACAAGTTCTCTACCTACCCATCTTATAGAACAATAAGGGTTTGAATCCATCGTGTTAGTTATTCTCACCGGGCAAACAGTTAGCGTGTTGGGCAGAATGGCTCTGTCTACCAGTGTGATATGTTTCCGTCGTTTTTCAGGAGTGAACCAGACACACCTGGAAGGTTTCCTTTGGATCTGTCTAGCAGTTCTAAAGCAAGATGGAGGCAGGTTTTATACACCAAACATAGAAACATTATACAAACGCTCTGATAAATTAATGGAGGGAAGGATGTCAGGAGTCAGCAAACAAAAGCCACAAGCCAGATCCTATCTTTCCCCATTTTATTGGGATTGTAAAACCAAACTGAGTGAAAATGTGTATTGCTGCCAGATGTGATGGCACATGGCTTTGATCCCAGAACTAGAGAACTAGGGAGGCAGGTGAGTTTGATACCAGCCAGGCTTATAGCTGTATAGTAAGAACCTGTCTTCAAAATAAAAGAAAGACAATGTGCATTTTATATTATTTAGATATATATTCTTCATAGGTGCCTGATATTCTAAGCCATTACACACAGTCTACAGAAGCAGTCTTTAAGCACTCGCGCAGAAGGTCTTTTTCAGTACTAAGACTCTATGGTGACATTAGTCTTAATATCACGTGCACGATTGCACGATTGCACAAGCTCAGCCGGTTCCTCTTCTAAGTCACATCGGTCATCTCACCTACGTATTTTCAACTTTTTATTGTCACAGATTGGCCATGTGACCTTTAGAAATTATGATAATGGCCTTCTCCTATGCTGTTGTTTAATTATATTTTAATCTGTTGCCCCAATTGTTGAATCTTCAGGTTCATAGCAATTATTTTCAAATATATTAAAAATCAATGCCCTTTTCTATAGCCGTCTTAAAGGAAGCAATTAATAACTAATTTCATTTTTTTATTTTTTTATAAAAAGCACAACCTACTTTCTTCCACTAAGATTCTTCCCTGGGTATTTATCTTAAGCAGTGGTATTTGGATTGGAAAGTTGGGTGAGTGTTTTGTCATAGCGAGGAACTCTCTACTAGTGACTTGGAAAGGTTATTTGTGACCCTTGGGCACACTGCCCAGGCTTCCTTTCCCCTTCATTGCTTTTTGATCCAGCTGTTTGCAGAGAGCTGGCACCTTGGCAAGATTCATCTGGATTTCCTCTTTCTTACCAGGTGAAAACACGCTCTCTAGAGCAATGCTGTGGCTCTGCCCAAACCATCACCAACCCGTGAGGCCACTTTCTCTCAGGCCAGGATCTCACACGGTGGAGCACACATCTAGCCTTGCCTCTGAGGGCTGATGATGCGGAGTCTTTCCTAGGAACCCTGCCTTCTTTTCTCCTACTTCTAAGTAATGTTTCAGGGAAATTGAGAATGCAAGTTTTTCTCATTGTTTACTGACAGTTGTGTTCCTGGAAAAAAAATGTATATGGCACTTAGACTGTGAATTGTTCTCTTGTAAGCTAACCTCAGATACTGCTTGTCAGTCTGAGGGGTCTTCCCATTTTCTCTTTTTTATTATATTTTTATTATTTAAGCAATTTTTAAATTTAAATATACTTTACCCATGTTCTTCCCTCCTCAAGGTCCTTGTAGGCCCTCCTTGATTCCCTATCTACCCAACTTTAAGTTCTTTCTCAAAAAAATAAAATAAGCAAAAACCCAATACAGCAAACTTCCCCCAAACCAAGAAAAACAACATAAATAGAAAACAAAACAAAAGAACAAAAACTACCAAACTGTAGCCAAATAAAAGCGTGCGCGCGCACACACACACACACACACACACACACACACACACACACTAAATGAATAGATGAATATCCCTGACTGATATGTAACCCATTATATACTATACTGGTCAGGTGCTCCTGCACATGAGGCTTCTTCTGGAGCTGTCACTCTGCTGAAGAATACTGATTCCCCACTCCCAGAGGTATGAATGACAGTTCCGTCAATAACCTTTACCTGGGGGCTAGGTTTTCATTCATTGAGTGACTAGATTCTGTTCATTCACTTTTCATATAAAAATATAATAAGACTAAACAAAAATTATTATATCAAAGTCTGATAGGACAGACCAACAGAAAAAAAAGAGCCTAAAAGAAAGCAGAAGAATCAGAGACTCGCTCAATCACATACTCAGAGGAATCCCATAAAAACACTAATTAGAAGCAATTAGGTCTATCTATCTTATCTATCTATCTATCTATCTATAAGTATCTATCTCTATATATTTATAGATAGATAGATATAGATATAGATTACCTTGTGCAGACTCATGCAGGCCACGTGTGTGCTACTTTAGTCTCTGTGAGTTTATATGAGCTTTGCTTATGTTGCTTTAGAGGCCTTTGTTTCCTTAGTGCCCGCCATCCTACTCTCTGCCTCCTCTTCCATGGGGTTCCCTGAGCTCCAAGGGGAAGGATTTGATGGAGATAACCCTTTTAGTACTGAGTGTTCCAAGGTCTCTGCATAATGCCTGGATGTGGGTATCAATATTCCTAGCAACTGCAGTGGGAAGCTTCTCTGATGATGGCTGAACAAGGTACTGGCCTATGAATATCGCAAAATATCATTAGGAGTCATTTGATCACTGTTGGTGTTGTTAAGACCAGAATTATTTAGCTTATTAATTAGCCCTAGGTCCCTGGGCTATCTAGTCTCAGGTTCTTGTTCACCAAAGCAGTGCTGGTATGGGTTCCATCTAATGACGTGGCCTTATTGATCCGCTCACCACCGCTGCTCTAGCACGTCTTCCAGATGGTATACCACATTAAATCAAAGCATCTGAGACTGGCTAAGCCTTTATGTTTGTTTTTTGGTAGCATACAGAGTATCCTTCTGTACCAAACACACTGGAACAGAGGGGCAGAGGTTCTTTGTAGGCACCAGACTGACATTTCCATGTTCCGTGAGCTGTGTAGATCTGTCTTCAGCCACAGAGCCTTGCTGTCAGTTTGTGGAGAGCAACCTATATATAGCCAAGGGTGTTTGAGGTCCCAAGGGGCCCCATTGACCAAAAATTCAATTAGAAATAATCCAATGCGACTACTAGAAACTTCTTTGGTAACAAAAGATGGACAGTTGTGGCTCTGTATCTCCCATCATTTGGTGATTTCATTTAGATTGTCTTCATAAATGCATATATTTTAGGAAGTTTTGCTGTATTAAGTTTCAATACTACCGCTTAAATTCCCCTTAGTTTTACCTGTCTCTTCTGTATTCCCTCTCACAACCTTCTCTGCCCCCTCCCTACCCCAGCCCCTGCCCTCGTCCATCCATAATTATCTATTCTATTCCTTTTCCAAGGAGATCTATCTGCTCCCTCTAGTTCCTTATCCTATGTGCTTCTACAGACTGTGGCTTTGTTTTAATTGATTTAACGTATTACCCACATAAAGGCAAATACATACCATATTTGTCTTTCTGGTCTAGGATACCTCACTCAGGATGACTTCATATTATTTTTTTAAGGACTGACTAATACTCCATTTTATAAATTTATCACATTTTCTTCATCTGCTCTCATGTTGAGGGACATCTAGGTTGTTTCCAGGTCCTGGCTGTTGTGAAC